GTGTTTCTTGAGAAATTCTCAGCACATTTGCAGGGCTTATTTCTTTAGCATCACGAGCAAAATTTGCTTCATCGTTTTCCTGCCACAGGCTACTGTGACAGGGAGAGAGCGATGTAGAGTAAGCAAGCTCTGCAAACGTTCAATAATCCACTTTCATAGGCTGTAAGCTGCTGGAGCCGGAACGTTGCTGATTACATGCAGTGTACTCCAAGTTGCTGCCCCATTACACACGAGGAGCTTACAAAAATTACAAGCATCTCACGTAGCATGAGAAAAGTTCACTGTAATGCACACTACTATCTTCCGTAAAATATGTATCGAGAACCCGCTTGGAGAGTATTGTATTACTGAAGCAAGCAGTAGTTGGAAATGTTAGAATGCACCCATCAGGTATACGAATTTGGCAGATCATTCTTCATGAAAGTCAGATGTACAACCCAGCAACACCTCCCTCCTCTAAACAACCAGAAAATATGTTCTTTTTTAGCAAAGATCAAAAATCAAGTAAACATCAGGTATGTTCTTTTCGGCACAAATCAAACATCGAGTAAACGTCAAGCACGGGCAGCACTTGCACCCTTTCCCATTAATTTCCGTGAGATTGAAATTGAAACAAGAAGACGCCACGGTAAATAAAAACATTAGCCATGCTAGAGGAGTAATATCATACAGCATCAAAGGCAAACAAAAAACTAAATTAAAAAATTCTCAAATGGTACGATGGACTTTGCCATCAATGAGTTGCCAAACACCTTGCTGAACAGCAACAACTCCTCAAAACTCCCCCTCGAAGAACAAGTCAATTTACATAAAGAAACACCGATCAATTCAACAACTCCAGGAATCTCCAGTAGAAACAACTCAACGCCCTTTATCAAAGGCAATACGAGTTCTACCAGATCCTTCAAAGCCATCTCGCATTGATCCTGCACTAGCTTTCATTGTACCACTGCTGCCAACTTTATCCATTGCTTTTTTACCTTTCTTGACTTCAGTCAAGAATTGATCCAAACCAAACGGATCAGCTTCTTCAGCCTCTTTCTCAAACTCAACAGGCCTGTCTCTAGGACCAGCCCTCTCTGAGGTACCTGCAAATGCCTTGTCAGGTTTAAAGCGCTCAGTCTTCATGATCTTCTCCAGCTGCTCATCCGCACCTCCATAAGTATCAGAGTCAACATCCTTTTTGGGCCTGTAGAGAGTAGACAGAGTAGGCTGGGCAGTAAAAAGCCCCTTGTCATAGATGTTATATGAATCATCAGTGGCAAACCCAGAGTCCATTCCTTTCTCCTGGTTAAACAACCTCTGGTCGTACATGACTTCACCCCCTCTCCCAGTTGTAGCCATTCCAAGAGCAACTTTCTCACTGATATCGCGGTCTCTGTCCCTTGTAATCTTACTCTTCTTCCCCATTGCAGCATCTTTCGACTCCAACCTACGCTCCCTCTCCCTCTCTCTACGCCGCTCTTCACGAATTTTCTCCCTCTGCAACCGCTCCTCTCTTTCCTCTTTTGTCTCCTTCTCCCTTGGGGCATCCCTGACACGGTCATAATCTGTAACCATATCATCATCAGTACCTCTCTCTGAAGGCATATTGGCAGCAGCAGGAGCTGCAGTACCAGTTCTCTCAGATCTAGCCTTTCGAGCCAACTCACGCAATTCCATCTCTTTCTTTTCTTTCTCTTTCATCATCATTTCCTTTTGGACCTTTGACCTCATGGCTACAGCCTCTCTGGCCTTCTGTTCTGCAACATACAGTGCCTCTGATAACTTCGCAAAGTTGTCATTAATTTGAACATCCTGAAGGCCCCTACCATCAGCTGCCAGACGCTTATCAAGAGGAATTGTATACCCTTTTGGGTTCTTCCAGTTTGAAATACAAGGTGGGATCTTCCAATCTTGCTGGTCCTTCACAGTCACAGGCCGAGGTGGAGAGTGCATTACTGGAACGGGTGGAGAACCAGATGCTTTTGGAACCCGCTTATGTTTAAACTTGGGTGGCTCCAAAGGGTCCACAGGCATCTCCACCATCCTAATAATCCTCTCCTTTGCACCAGAATTAAAGGCAGCTGACTGCTGTGAAGGCTTGTACTTGATAAACTTAGAATCTGAAGATTGTGTAGGAACATTTTTGGGCTGAGCCGCACTCAACCTCACATTCACAATCTTCTCAAGAGCAGTCTTAGTGCTCTGAGTGGTCTCATCAATCTCCTTCTGCTTCTCATCCAGGTCCATCTCCTCCTCGTCCTGACCATCTTTGACAACCATGGGGACAAGGTCGGTATGCTGTGAATACACAATCTTTTTAGCATTCTCATTCTGCCTCACAATTGCATCATACCTCACATTACCATGCTCATCAACTGTAATGGGCAAGGTTTTCGACCCTGGCTTCCAGTCCCTTTTCCTCCCCATATCCAGAGGGTATTGAGCGATATGAATTTCCGGGAACGCCCCCCCATCACCAAAATCCTCAAGTTTGGATGGTTTAAAGCCAGTTCTTTTTAAATAAGGAGGAACTGGATTTGCCTTAATTATTGCAGATTTCTCAGACTCTGCTGCACTATACCTCTGCTTGAACCACGGATCATTCGAGTGATCATAGTGAGTTGACCCACTCGACTTTACAGGCGGAAGAAGGTCCTTTAACGCCGCCATCTATAACCCTAACCTCAATTCCACCCTCCCCTAAAGCCTGTAAAAGAACAATAACAGAAAGTACTAAATTAAACACCACAAAAACTCGTACTTAAGAACTGAGGATCCAAATAACAGTAAAGTGCTAAAAAAAAAACTAGAAAACTTTTCGTTTTTTCGTTCTTCTTAGATAACTCAGAAAAAAGCAAACGTCTTAAAGAGCTTATTTGCAAAATAATAATAATAATAATAATAAATTAATAAAATAATAACAATAACTACAGGTATACACCGGAGTCTACCAACAAATTCCGGAGAAAGATCTAAGCTTTAATCGAGCTCAACTCCTGAGATACTGATTTAACATAAATCAGATGAGGGCTTTGGCGCAATATATGGAATAAATAGGTGAAACTTAAACCTAACTACTCAGATTAAAATAGGTCGGAGCATGACTAGGGACGTACGGAAGGGAATTTGAGATTCACCTGGTTCGATGAAATATTTGGAATCCCGGAGCTATGATCGAGATAATGAAGGCAAGAGGGTCGTATAAAGTCCCGTCGGAATGAATATAAGGAAGGCCGTATTGGATTGCAGGAGTTAATATAGAATCGCGTTTGACGCCTAGAGTCGGCGCCCTGGAGCCGAATCTCAGGAGGAGAAGATATTTGTGGATTTTTTGCAGGTTGGGCTGGATAATCCTTTTCAGTAAAATGGGCTTCGGCCTAAGGCTATATAAAAGCCGTCAAAAATTGTTGGCCTGTTAAACCTTATCTATATCTCTAACTACATAAGGCGCGGAAGGCCTTGCTACAGTGATTCCGCTGGTTATTTTGTAATTTGAGCGTTGATTTTGTCTTCATTTGTCTTTGTAGGTGTGATGAAAGGCATTGTGGGGTCATCTCTGTTTCATGCTTGTCGCCCACAGGTTCTAAATTTTGGTCGCCTGATTCCAATTTGACCCTTTTACACTGGTTTTGTTGTTGTTTCTCGGCAGATTTTGGCCTTTTCCGTCTTTTTATTGCAAGTAGTGGTTGGCCCGTTGCCTGCTGCACATGCCTGCCCAGATTTCTTGGACCTCTCACGGTTTTTGTGAAATCTTTTATGGTCTGCCGTATTATGTTGGTTCGTTGTGTTTGGATTTCAGAAACAAAAAAAATGCGACTGTATCCATCCATAGCTACTATATCCGTCGATATATAAAATAAAAAAAAAAATTTATGATAGGCAAACAAATCACCAACTTTGCCTGCCAAATTACTCTTTACAAGTTTCTCGCAACTTTCGCTATCATAAAATTAATTAGAACCAATAATCAAATCATAATTAGACAAAACATAAATACACCGTAAACAAAAAAAATACCAAAAAATTGCAAAACAATTACTTACTCTACCAATAGAAAAACATATCAAAATCATAATCATTCAAAATAATACAAAAATATGACAAATCCATACTACATTACAAAAATTATATTAAAAATCATGATTTGGCTGTTCGATTTGTGCTTCTTTGTCCTGTGGTCCAATATGTAGCCGTCAACGTCCTCTGCTCTCAATCTGTGCCCGTGAAGGTGTGAAGCTCCAGTTACAAGTTATAAATCAATTGTCCGGCTTTGTTCTATTAAATCACCCTTGCTCCCTGCTTTGTTCGATTAAATCAAGCCCTCTTCATTATTAAATTAAAGCTGCTCACTTGTTGGATTAAAGCTATTGCATCCCTTTGTTCCATTACATCAACCTCTCTTGATTATTAAATTAAAATTACTCAATTATTAAATTAAAGCTATTGTGTTTTTAGATTGAGTAGCATAGCATAAATGTGCTCAACCTCTCTTGATTATTAAATTTGAACTACGCAATTATTAAATTAAAGCTATGGTGTTTTGAGATGAGATTTAGATAAGATTGATAAAATTTGTTAGCTATTGTTAGCTATAAGATTGAATGTCATAACATATATGTGCTTAATACAAAATGATAATTAGTTGTCTACCTTATTAAATCCATTAAATTAAACTCGCTCGATTATTAAATTAAAGCTACTCATCAGATCTTACGTGGTTCTTTTCTGTTACTTTCATATTACGTGGCGCAATTCTCCTTTGACTCTGTCAAATTTTGCCTTACGTGTTGCATGCTTACAGATTACACCTTGCAGATTGCACTGGGTCAAATTTCATCTTACGTGCTTACAGCTTACGCATTACAGCTATATTTGCTTCGTTTGGTTCTTTTATCATAGTGGACTTGCAATCATTACGTAGATTTAATGCATGCATGTGCTTGCTTTTACCAAAGCACAGGCTCTTTATATAGTTAAGCACTCTGTGTGCTATATTTACATTAGCTTTTCCACCGTCAGTTTCTTTGCTTAGACTTTCTCTTTTGTCCTGCGTCTTTCTATTAAGCCTCCATCTTGTGCCAGCTTTTGGTGATTTTTGTTTCCAGTTTCCTCCTTTTGGCTCACTTCAATCAGGTGCTGCCTGTTTTCCTTTACTGTATTTCTCCACTTTTGCGCCTAATATAACTGTTTATTACATTGTTCGTTCGGTGAACTTTTTGCTCTTTCACTGTGTTTGCTTATTTTTGTTTCGTATGCTTCAAGTTATGCTTTTATCATTTTCTTTTCCCCATCATTTCCATCTCTTTGTTGCAAGTTTTTAGTTTGCATGGACTCTGACTTTTCTTATGTTAGCTACTTCCATGTTATATTTATCTTTTCTGTGATCTTATCGGTTTATTCCATGCAGCTCAGCTCAACCATCCTATTCGAAGCTTATTGTTCAGGTAAAGCAATCTCTCCTTTACTTATTTGTTCCTCATCTGCTTAGTGCTTAGTCTGTTCTACTTCGTTGTGTTTTATCTTCTATGTTTGTTATCGTTTTGCTTATTAAATGGAAATCATCTCTTTCATTCACGCTTGTTTTGTCTGCTTCAAGAAACTTTAGATGATTTGTGATTGTTATTGTTGAATGTCATGGATAACAGAATTTTCTTAATTTTAGCTACAATTGCATATGGGTCGGAAACGTAAATTTTCCTCAGAAGATGAATATCGTTTAGAAAAAAGCCGTCGTGATCGTGCAAGATAATCTTGCCAACTCCAAAGCTGCTAGAGACCTCATCCTCCATCAAGCGCAATCTTGGGGCAGATTTCTCTGAAAGCACAAAGCATCAAAAACTAAACTAGATAATTTACATTCCAGTTGGATGTAAAACAAAAAATTGTACTTTTTGTTTACGAATCACAGCAGCTTTCTAGAATTTTGTTCTGTACAAATAACAACTAACTTTTGTATTAAGCTGCAATTCCCAATGATCATGTATATATAAAAAATGCATGGTTTTCGATTTTCCTGTTTATAATCCATCTCTTACACAAACATTTTCTTTACAAAAAAACCATCAGTTAACACTCAACAAGAAGATAATATGGGCACCCCGCGACACCCGCGGGGTCCAACACCTAGTTTTTTTTAAGGGGGAGAAAAAATGAATCTGAATTCTTTTTTTTTTTAACGGGGATGAAAAATGGGGTACGAAAAAATTACAACAATTACGCTAATAAAGTGATACAAACATGATAAACTCTTTTTTGGTGACAATATCTTAATTCGAAAATTGATATTTGTACATAAGAAAATTGGAGACAATTTTATCAAATAAACCAATACAATAATTGGTACTACTTGATTAATGTACATGCTATATTGTGGGTTATTCGCTGGAGATTTATGGCTTCTAGAATTGACACTTTTGACTGTACAGTACAACGGATACATTGACAGAATAAACGCTCCATCTGTCAAATGAGTTTTTTTTATGTTTGTCTAAAACTTACTATAGAAGTTATGGGAAAAAATTTTGAAGTGTGTAAATTTTTAGATATTTTGAAGTGTATAGTTTAAAAATTTTGAGAAACTTTTTTATGTTACTATATAGTTAAGGGTTAATATCAGAAACCTCCCTTGAGGTTTCTTCTAATCACACCTAGCACCCCTCATGTTTTAGAAATCACACTTAACACCCCTGGAATGACAACTTTGGTATCATTGTCAACCCTTCATTATTTTTGTTCCACTTTTACCCTCATTGTGAACTCTATTTATGTAACTCACATCCCTCCAACTTTGGTAACACTAAAAGATCGCCCTTGAATAGTGTAACATGTTTTGAACATTTTTTAATTTTATGTAAACTTCTTGTACATCTTTATAATAGATTGCGTTTATGTTATTAAGTTTTACAAATAATTCACATAGAGTTACACATTGTTTAAAAAATGTTACATTGATCTGAACGAAGATAAAAAAAAATGTGAATATGGATTCTCATAATGGCAGCAATAGTTTCAATATGTGGCTGTAGTTGCAAATAAACTTGCTCTTCCATTTTTGTGAAAATGAGTTAGTATAAATAGCTTGTTGTGCATCCTAGTCGAATGGAGTTTGTAAGTTATTAATATTGCGATACCCTATTGTTAAGTAGAAATGGCTTGCTGATGCTATATACTCATGAATTCACATAATCTTTGAACTACTTTTAGATTATGTTATTATTCACTTAGGAATTGCAATTTTGGCAATGGCACTATATCCATTGCCAAAAGTTAACATCATTGGAAGCTCCATGCCTGTTTAGTATTAGAGAGTGCGATAGGAATAGTTGTTAGATTAACAATCCCTAAATAGTGTAACATTTTTTGACCATTTTGTAATTTTATGTAAACTTCTTGTACATCGTTACAATAGAAGTGTGATAGTTGTTAGTGTACATATGGGTCCAATATGTAATAATCGTATTTGTGTTGATAAGTTTTACAAATAGTTCAATTAGAGTTATACTTTATACAAAAAAATATTACATAATTACATAATAGTTTTACATAATTTAGGGAAAACCTCAAGGGAGATTTTCGAAATTAACTCTACATAAATAGAGTTCACAGGGAGGGTAAAAGTGGAACAAAAATAATGAGGGGTTGACAATGATACCAAAGTTGTCATTCCAGGGGTGGTAAGTGTGATTTCGAAAACATGAGGGGTACTAGGTGTGATTAGAAGAAACCTCAAGGGAAGTTTCTGATATTAACCCATATAGTTAAAGTTGTTAAAAGACTTGTAGCTGATAAACCTAACCAAAAACTTGTTTGCCAAATAAGCCCAAATATAGATACTAACGCAACAAATATAAATAGTAAAGCAACAAAATAAAAAAAACAACAAATTTATCACTTTTTGAAATTTGTACCTCATATCTAATTTCAATTATCCAAATTCAAATTTGTCATCCGTCACCATGAATTGTTCTATGCAATCACACCTATGATTGTAGATAACCCCAACTCATTGCTAGAAATGAAGTAAAATGGCTACCAGGTCGAAGATTAACCAAACTCAAGCACTAAACCAGATTGAAGTAAATTTGCCACACTATGTGGTTCTTAAAAAAAAAAAAAAAATCCAGATGGGTGCATTATGTACCCGTCTGGTTCGATGATAATTCTATCCCCATCGGCCCCCATCGGCCCCCATAGGTCCAATTGAGCCTTCCCCTTAATTAGATTAGGATAGAGTAAGATATAAATAAAAAGTGACGATCGGCAAAAAAAAAAACTCAAGCACTAATCAACTGTTATACGTTATTATCCATCCATAGAATAGGCATCAATTAATGAATAAAGGGCCCTCTCTTTCTCTCTCTCCTGTGTGTGTTTGCTTGTTTGTCTATATATATATATATATATATATATATATATATATATATATATATAGGCTATGCACTTTTTATCTATTAATTATTTCATATGAATAAAGATTTTAATTTTTAATAATTTTATGCATTTTTACACCTAAATTTTAGATATTTTTAATAGTCAAAAAACTAAAACTTATAATATACCAATGAGTAGATCAACTTTATGTATAAGCCTTAGGGCTATTGATAGGTAATAATAGAGTTTTTTTAAAGGCAATAATTGAGTTGTTAATTAATTACAGAAAAAATCAATATAACATTACTCTTATGTTGTTTGTGACGGTCCCATCTTCCCTTAAGGTGAACCAGAGAATTCAACAGACCGCCTGCCCAACTCTCGCCAGGATTCCGGAACCAAAACATACAATATGTACCTAACTTTCGAGAGAAAATTCAATAAAATGAGCGATTAACCCTCAATAAGTTGTTCCTCTTCTAAAAATATCACCGCGAATGAAATTACCGCGCTCGAGCACTCAAATCGGTCATGAAAATGGAAAACAAAAATTTGCTACGGATGAACAGTAACCGGCCACGTCACTATTCGGCTGGATTCTTAGCCGGATATGAGGCAGTGGCCAAACCCAAAGGGGTCGAAATTCCCCTGTCAATCCGGCCGGAAACTGGCCGCAATGGCCAAAGTCCAAATTTTTTTCCTTTTTCCCTGCACATCCGGCCTTGTATCCGGATTTGTGAACAGTAATTTCGCCAAAATTCTTTTCCTTCTTTGCTCGAAATCGGTACTCGTCTCAAAACACACCGAACACATAGAGCAGTTAAACAATACATTGATATATACATGTCACAACATAACCATGTCATATACACATGAGGAGATTCAATTATACAACTCAAAAGATACTTGCATTCAAATACATCAAGTTTTCCAAATATTCGAGGAGCAAATCAAAACAAATTGTTTAACTAGCTCAACTCATTTTCTCAAAATTTGAGTCCGAAAGTGTCCCTGTAAGGAAAACAAAACAACGGGGGCGAGCTTACGCTCGTGAGGTACCAAACTCACAAGTACATTTTACATGGCCAACAAACACACAAGTGCTTTCACCATAACAACCACATATAAAAGGATACGGTCGGCCCTCAAGGGCCGTTTTCCAACTGTTGTACTTGAACATACCCGTTGACACTCCGTCAACTGTTGAAAAGAACAAGACCGTAGACCCCTCTTTACACCCAATTCCTTCCACCGTTCACCCCCTTACCGGGCCCGAACACCTCACAGTTACAAAAGGTAATACTCGAGTATACTATAGGTCGAGGAGTTAACACTCCACTCGACTAACAGTGACCCGAAGGCTCGTTATCGATTCACCCAAACCCTTTCCGGTTCGACTCGAATAACGGCCTAAGGGAATGAGCTCAGATTTCACAGTAATAATTGGGCATAGCCCTAGCAGAGGTCAAATCATACACATATGCAATTTCACAGTCAAACAGTAACAGTAATACAAATAAGAGATCGAGAGCGATCAAATACACTCTCGTCTCATTCAGGTCATTCAAGTCACATAACAAGTAACAATAACCATAAAATGATACACTCACAGAGGCAATCAAGCAATTCACACGTTCACGTCAGACGTTAGCCCCGGATCACCGGTATGACCTAAAACAAGCAAGAAAAACATGTTTGAAACTCAATCACGAATCAACGTATTGGCATTAAATTACTAGTACAATATACCAAAAGTGAAATGGGGTGACACTAGTGGGGAACGTAATCAACTCCAAAATTCTTCCATTTCTACTCAAACCCCTCTCAACTCAAAATTTATCCACAGTCCTTATAAATTGGGCAGCACTTCCCCTTAAAATGTCACATTTCCAATCTCACCAACAATATCCAAACAAGCTTAAGTATAAATGCAACTCATAAGCTAGTCTATTCATCTCATTAGGGTTACCAACCCCTCAAATCTCCATCAATTACAAGTGTAAGAGCCAATCATAGTAAAGCCTCAATTTGGAACCCTAAAATCTGAAATTTTCCACAAAAGCGAAAATTTTCCGCAATTAACCACCACTAACACATATAGGTTCTAAATCATTCAATATAAAGCTATCACACCTTAGCCAACTATAGTCAACTATATAAAACAGAAAAATTCCCAATAAATAGAAAAATTAGACAACTCAACCATAATTCATGAAATAATCCATAAAATGACATGCTTCACCACTAAAAACCCTCAATTGATCAATATTATCAAGGGTAGGAAGATATCTTGACCACTTACCTTTGCAACTCCAAAAAGCAAAGTAACTAGGGCTTGTTTTTCACAAATGGCTCCACTAAAAGCTTTAAACTAGCTTATCAACTCACTTTTGTGGAGGATTTTGGAATTTAAACGGTGGATTTGCAAGATTCAAGCAAGAAATGAAGAAAAATTGAAGAAGTTTCTCTCTTCTTTTCTCTCTAGTTGGTCGGCCAAGAGGAGGAGAAAATAAGGGAATTTTGGGTCAAAATTACTTATTACGAAAGGTAAAGTAAATGATCAAAAGTCCAACTTCCAATAGAAAGGTAATATATGGCCTCTTCAAGCTTATCTTACTTCTTTGTCTTGTAATGCTTA